CGCAAGCCTATTTTTCAAACTTTCGTCGTCCGTGAGATTTGAACCCTAGACCTGCTACTTGGAGAGGGTGACGACTTGACTACTTCACTAAGCCGCCACACCTCTTTAATTTTATATTTTTATTTGATTCTTCATGAATAAACTATTTTGTACATCCAATTATTTTGTAATTGATCTTTCTTTGATATATTAATTATTATTTACTTTGGTATCTCAAATATTACCGACCATCTATACTTCTAATCATTATTCATATGAGTTATATGAATCATGTGAATCACATGTACTACAATTTGTTCGTTCTGGCCCAAAGACATATTAAACATATAAAGTTTTTTTTTTTTTTTTTTTTTTTGTATATTTTCTTTATTATTTATTATCGACCATTTAAAGCTCTAAGTCAATTACCCTTCAGTAAGTATATCACATACTTGTTTTCACTATGACACGAGCTAGATTCCCCATGATTTTTGTCCTTGAAATCACTATCCGACTCTTCATTTCTTTCAATATCATCTGAACCTTTGCAACTTCTTTACCCTATTTCTGGTAAGTGGGTCCTTTATCTCAACATTATCAAGTTCAGAAAGATAAAATTAATCATGATTTCTGACCTTTCAAACTTTGTATGGACTGAGCCAATGATAGTCCAACTTTCAAGATAAAGATGTTTTCAAAGTAGAATCGTACACCAAAACCAAGTCACCTATATCAATTTTCTTCTTATAAGAATCGTTACAACAATCATAAAAATATTTCTATCGCTTTCTAAGTTCATCTCAGTTTCTTGCATATCTTTTAACTTATGACTCAAATTTTTCATTTGCAAAACTCGAAACTTTAGTAATTCTTGGGTCATTCAAGTCCCTTTTATCACAAATGTATTATACGTTTCAATAGTCAATTCGACCAGTGTTACCGCATCTCTGCTATATACAAGTCAAAAAAGAGAATAGCCAAGTTCTCCAATGGTTATATTCAAAGTCCACACATATTCACGTAAATATTCGTGCCAATGATTCTGTTTTTTTGCGCATACTTTGCATAGGACTTTGGTCAATTTCTGAACTGTCCTTTCTGCCTTACTATTTGCCTCTGGATGGTAGCTAGCTACAAACTTTTGATCAACTCCTAACCATATAGTAAGCTTATTCACTAAGCTGTTTTTAAATTCCATGCCTCTGTCACTTACAAGTTTAGTGAAGCATCTATGTCATGTGATAACATTGTCCCAAATAAATTAGGCAATATTCTTTGCATTCTTTTTCTTAAGTGCTCAGGCCTTGATAAATCTAGTCAAATCTTTCACAGCTACTACTATATATTCATGCCCAGCACTGGTATGGTGCATAGGCTCTATGCAATTTACAAACATTTTATGAAAAATCCAACTTGTTACTGCAATATGGATAGGCTCTTTAAGAACTTTATGTTCACATTTTTGACATATTATGCAGGACGACACATAATCTTTAACATCTCTATACAAATTATCTGCGGCCCATTCATAATTTATTAATATTTTTCTTATATAGCTATTAATCTCTTGATGTTCTCCTTCTCTATTTACTCCTTCATGATTTGCTCTCCAATCATTTTCTTTTCTTCACTCTCAAAAATTATACGTCTCGGAGGCCTACTCTTTGTAGCTCTTCGATACAATCGTTTGTCTAAAAGACAATATTTTCTTAGCTTTGAATTCAAGCACTTTTTATCAATTTTAGTTACGTGAGACGGCCAGAAAAATATCTTCAGGTAATGTGCTATTGCTTTTATATCATATAGCCTTTGGTTCACTTTATTTATACTCATTAACAAGTTCTCTATATATTGGATATTGCTGTACCGGCGCATTTGGATATCTCGAAATTTTGTCCATGTTTCTATGTAATTTACCCAACTTATATTGTATGCAAAAATCAAAGGTTTGTAGAGCCAAAACCCACCGCATAAGACATCTCTTAAGTACTGCTTTGTTGAACAACCATTCTAATGCATGGTGATCAACCCAAATATTAAACGTAGTTCCTCCAACATAGCATTCATTCACATTACAACCGAAAACAATACTGAGACAATTCTTTTCCATAACAGTATAATTGATTTCATACTCATTTAATTTACATGATTTAAATAAAATTGGTCACATTCGTCCACTACAATCTTTTTGTTCTAAAACCATATCTAATAACATGTCACAGGCATCTATATATATTTGATATAGTCGCTTTTCACTTTTTGTACTTTCCCAATTAGGTGCTTTTAACATAACATCAGTTAGCATCGCTTCTTTCAGGTTTTGAAATGATTGTTGTTGCTCCTTATTCCAATGATACCCCACACTTTGTTTTGTAAGATCTGTAAGTGGTTTCGCCACCTTACTGAAATTTTTAACAAATCGTTGATAATAGTTCATCATGCCTAAGAAGGATCATACTTCTATAAGGCAAGTAGGTGTATTCCATTCAATTATTCTTTTAATTTATTTAGGATCCACTTTCATATCAGACTTACTCATGACAAAACCATACATATTCAACTCTTTATACAACAAATGACACTTTTTCTCCGCAAAAGTTAATTCCACTTCCTTAAACCTTTTTGCTAGCTTTATAAACAATTCAATATGATTTTCAATAGTACTATCCATCTATAGACTCACATCATCCTGATAAGCTGTGGTAATATTTCGCCATTTATCTTCTTCTAATACGATATCTATGCGACATTGAAACGTCTCACTGGCATTCTTTAACCCTATACACATTACTGTGTATCTCAAAAGTCCAATTGGGATTGAGACAGCTACTTTGTCACTATCTTCCTTTCTAATTTGAATTTGCCAATACCCTTTATATGCATTGACTGAGGAATACCAGTCATGCCCAACTGCTAATTCAAGTATATCATGAATCATAGGTAGTAAATATTTGTCTTTTACTATGTACTTATTCGATGGCTTCATGTCTCTTACAACTCTAAACTGATCCATACCACTATCTTTCTTATTTACTAGAAAGCAATAATATACATACTGTCCCTTTCCTTTCTCTAATAATCCATGTTTTACCATTTCTCATTACTGGCCCTCAAACAATCTAGCTTGCTCTAGATTATTGATACATATCGGTCTCATTCGGGCTTCTGGGATTACTTTTCCTCTCGTACGTACTTCATACTCAATTAAATCTGTCTTTCCTATTTCAGAAAGCTCAAAAGCAAATACTTCAAGTAGATCTTTAATCAACCGATTAATCAAGTATTCTTTATTTTCTTTCGATACCGCGTTGTAATGTCCAAAGTAATGCTATTTTCTTTAGTAAGATGCATAATTAGCTCCGGGTTTTCAATATTCACTATTCCATCTTCATTCTTGTGATCTCTGGTTCAGTAAACCACTTGCTCACAATGTTGGGTTTCTTCAAGTTGGTGAACGTTGATTGACAACACTTCTTTCATTATAAACTGATTACTATTGTTGGCTTTGTTCAATATATCTCTATATTCACCATTCATTTTCTCAATTTCAGATTGCTCTACTTGCACTCTACACATCAACAATACACTCATCTCATTCTTGTAATTACTTTCACGTTCTTCATCTTCATTACACCAATGACTCATCCAGCTTTAGGTACCATAGTAGTGATAAAGAATACTTTTCTACAATTGGAAACAATAGAAACCAGTATTGATTATTCTTCCATTTCAACTCACATTTTGCTGCTGCAATCCACAGCATTTCAAGTAATACATCAAAACTAGCAGAAGCTATGACATAAAAATTTTTTGTAACTATGACTCCTTCTGTATCAACTTCTATATTTGATATATATCCCAGGAAGTTGCTAACACTATTGTCAGCTATTCTTTCTTTTCATTAAATGTTTTCTATATCAACCCTCTTTCTTTTGCATATTTCTCATACATCAGATTTAATCGAGATCCAGGATCAATTGGAGTATCAGTTTTCTCTATTAATAGTTACCACACCCATTGGTATGTTACTATCTTGTTTAACACTTATGTCTTGTACCGCACGAACTATGATCACATTTGTATCCATCATAGCCACATTGTTTTCTTTTCTTTTATATGACATTGCTTTTAATATTTCTAATCTTACCTTCGGGACCATTTGAATAATTGTCCTAAAATTAAGGTTACTTTCAATTTAGCAACCTTCTTCAAAACATCAAGCTCTTAACTTAATTTGGATAAAGGAATATATTTTACAGGACTTAAGGTTTGTGATTCTACTGAAACACTTTTACTTTTGTCAACTTTCTCTTTTTTTCTTTCTATCTTCGTTATTAATCGTCTCTTCCTCATCAACACATTTTCTTTTTCTGAGCTCCCAATTCCTTATATCGAATATGGGTTCTCCTTTTACCATTTTAACTTTTAAGTATTCAACTCCCAAGTTACTTAACTTTGTTGTTATTTCAAAATACCAGATATTTGCTCCCAATACTTTAACATTTTTAGTTCTCATATCTCTTTGTTCATTTCTTTGGTCAGGCAGGTTCTGTGTTATCTGATTTGAATAGTTATGCAAGATATGACCTTCTTGTTGACAATTAAAGCACTGATGACTATCAATGTTTTTTTGTAGCCTAGTAAAACTCGCACTTCTTGAATGAGACCATCCAAAAGATGAGTTATTACTGGTAAGTTCCTTAACTACCTTCATCAACTCCTTAATATCCATTTCAATTTTTTCTATCTTACTATTACTGATGCTTTCTTGTTTAACCCGATTTACAGTAGGGGCTTTCATTATGGCAGTAATGCCATCAACCTCTGCATCATTTAAATAAGACTTTTCTTCAGCCATGGTTAAGTTTCTATTATTACTTTGCTTTCTATCTTTTTGAAAGCTTTCAATTTGCAGAGCGGTTACTTTGGCTTTGCTGAAATTATTTGGACAGAAGTTTTCCACTCTTAATCTATATAACTTTTCATTCTATTTAAATACCAATCCTGTTTCTTATCCTTCCTTATTTTGTCTTTCACTGTATTTGCATATGCTTTGAACCTACTTGTATATCCCCTTATTGTTTCCTTCTCGCCTTGCTTGATGTTTCTTAACTGATTTATTTTTATTTTTTCATCACCTTCAGTGTTTATCACTTTCACTATTCCTTTTTTCAGCTTATCCAGTTATTATTACAACCTTTTATTAATTCTCTAACCCATACCTTTGTTTTATCAGGCATGTGCATCACTATCATTCTGTATTTCGTTTTATCATCCCAATTCTTTGACTTGGCATATCTGCTATAATTGAAAAGAAACCCATCAATGTCATCTTTCTTCTTATTATGAAAGAATGGTTTTGTCAAATCTTTAGACATATCAATACACGTGACTTGATACGTAAAGGAAAATGCGATGTATTATGAAATAGTGTATATAATATTAATAACTCAAAGGTAAAATTCGTTTTTGCTTTATAATTTTCAATTTGATTATAAATGTTCTAGTCTCTCAAGACTTATTGTTTTGTTTTTGAAAAATCTTTGATCTATCACGAGATTAATAGTAATATGCCCAGGTTCTCATGTCATGGGATAATTAGTGACTTTCATTAGCAAAATAACCTAGCTCAAACAGAGAAGCATTTTAACAGTTATTAATGTATTTTTGATTTACTCAAGGAAAGTATTAAGTTTGCTTTTTTACTATTCACAGATTTTTTATTTATTCAATTGACTAACTGAATCTTTTATTACTTTATCACTTTGATCCTTATATACATATTTAACTTCAATCATTATATTATATATCAGTCATATGACCATTGTCTCTTAAATTGATTACATATTTTTATTTGATTCTTCATACATAAATTAATAATAAACTATTTTGTATATCCAATTATTTCGTAATTGATCTTTCTTTGATATATTAATTATTATTTACTTCTGTATCTCAAATATTACCGATCTGATCATTATTCACGTAAGTTATATGAATCACGTGAATCACATGTACTACAATTCGTTCATTCTGGCCCAAAGATATATTAAACATATAAAGTTTTTTTTTTTGTATATTTTCTTTATTATCTATTATTGACTATCTAAAGCTCTAAGTCAATACCCTTCACTAAGTATATCGCATACTTGTTTTCACTGTGACACTATTAATAATTAAAAATTTTACATAAAATACAAATACATAAAAACTATCTATTAATCTATAATAAAAGGCAGTCATTCTTTTTAATTTACTATAGTTTGATTTGATAGTATTAGTTAAAGTTATCTGCAAGAAAAGAAAAAAATGCTGTTGGGCCCAAAGAGCCCACTGATTTGTATTTCTAATATAATTTTATATTATGTACAGTCATCCTCCCATACAATCACACAGTTGGGCACATAGTAAATTTTTTTAAAAATGTGCTTATAAAGGGGTTGTGCTTATATGGAGGTTTTTTTCTTATAAATTAAATCATAGTTTGTCCTAAATAAAAATGTGATTACATATGATGTGATTATATGGGAGGTGACTATATGGAGGGACGACTGTATTAATTAATATTGGAAATTTGATATTTATTGATTGCTTTATTAATAAGTTTATTATATCTAGTTCTTGTTACTTTATGTATTGCATGTATCATTTTACTTTGAATCTTTGGTTCATAATTTTTTCTTATTCAAGTATGACCAATATAGACAGTACTAAAAAGAATATTACATACCTGTTTATCTTTACACAAACTTAAGAAAGTTTTAAAAATACTGCCAGCCTCACTATTACTTTGGTTAGCAAAAAAGTAATAGGAATCCAAGAACTTTTAAAGCACTGGATTATTTGCAGAATATCCATAACTATCTCACTGGTTTCATCACTAATAAAAAAAATAGACATTAACATCCCAAGAGCTATGATTGTTCCAAATATACAATATATATAGCTTCTAATTATATCTATTTGTTTTATACATGGAATCTATTAATATCAATTACCCAAAACAGCAAAGCTTTTCAAGCTGATTTGGGTGGGCAAAAGTGAAACTCTAAGCCAACTAACCATAATATTCTACTTGATATTCTTCTTTTTTTTAAAAAAAAGATAAATTCTTTAATATCTGACTCTAAATTTCTGTTACCTATAAAATATGAATTCTGGAGCCTAAAAACCTTTTGTTTAATATTATAAACCTCTATTTACTTTAATTCTTTTATGTTAATACCAAGAGCCAATTAATCTCTTAGTTCTATACTTCTTGATTGCATTAACTATAGATAAAAATGAATAATTTTTAATTTTCCTCTTTTAGACCAAGTTACAAACAAGCTGAAAATATTTCAATTTTTTGCTTTTTTTGATAATATGTGTATAATTAGAGCTATTTAAATATCATTCAATAAGAATTTTTTACTTATTTACAACCTGCAAACCCCTGATTTTTGCATGATACAGGTTTGAAGAACAGACCTTCATTTTTTTGCACTTTTTACTTGAAATGCCCTCTTTACAAGTATATAACAAATTGTGTTTAATGAAGCAACATGTATAAATTATCTTATTGTTATTGCTTTTAGAATTGTACCTTGTCCAAAAATTTGTAACAAGGGGCTACTATTTCTAATTAAAATCTTGCTCTTGAACTTCAAATAACTGGTTAATATTAAAAAGAAGTGCTTGTCTTTGGTTAGATGTAAAATGTGATGATGTATAATGTGTATTATAAATATATATTGTATATTTATAAACTCAAGAGTTTTGTTTGATCTATTAAACTAAAACTCTATATATTTTAAATACTATTACTTGATTTTCCTTATTGTTTAAGTCTTCAGTGTTGTTAAGTTCATTTTTCAATAAATTTTGTAAACAATTTTATTAAAAGTAAAAAAAATTAAAAAAAAAATAACACTACTATTTAAAGCAATGTTTTTTTTTAAATATTATATTGAGAACAGACTTATTTAATGTTATAAATATACAGTAAAAGAAAAAAACCTTTAATGCTACAATATAAAGTTTAAGACATTAATGCTAAAGTAAAAAAAAAAGAGTAGTTGTGTAGCTAGCACCAAATTGCAAAAAAATAGTACATTCTGTAATTACTCAGTAATTATTGATCATTAGATAATTCTATAATAGACCTGTATCAGGAAAATTAAATAAGTACAAATTTGCAAAAATCTGTATTTTTGCAGATTTTTGAAGAATTGTTGTAAAAAATCTGCAAAATTTTTTAGAATTTGAAGATTTGCACAGAATTTTATCTAATTTCTGTATTTATAGTATAAAATTTGAAGTTTTGCACAGATTTCATTTGATTTATTATTTAATTTTTTCACAAATCTGCACAGAGCTGCAATAAAAAAAATTCTCCGGTGTGGCTTTAAGCATCCTCAAAACAGGTAATTAGAACAATTAGCTAAATTGATAGATCTAATTACCAATTTTGGTAAAATAATTTGTATTACTTATAAACAAACAGTACTGTGTTAATAAATTGGCTAACTTCATGATCCAGAGTATTCAATGTTTTATTATAAACCACCTTTAAAATTTTATAAGAAGAAGCTTCAAATACTAGAGAATTCGCAAAACTCAGACTCAGAACTTAAACTAATAGCTTCTTCTTGCTAAATAAGTTAAAAAGCAAAATTTGCTTAAATTTTACTTATAAAATTTAGATGCATCAATCATTTGACTTATAAATAAAAAATTTAAACACATGATCTGCATGACAAATCGTATGACTGTTATCAAATACTAGATAGCTGCATGATGCTATTACACAAAACCAGAAACAGAATACTAAATAGTAGTTAAATTTGAATGAATAATTTGATGATAAAGAAACAAATAGTTTATTATCAATTTAATTAGCAATGTTAAAAAAAGGTAATTCACCTAATTTTTGTTGTGTTTAGTAGTGATTATTTATAATATAACAGTTAACAAAGTTTTATTAATTTTATAATATCAATTAATTTATTTTGCCATGTATTAATGCATAACACAATAATGCAGCAAAATATCCTTAAGTGCTAAATGCATATTCAAATTCTTGCCTAAATATATATATATATTCTCTATAAATAGAGATCCAATTAACTCGCCAACAATCACTTCGTAGATATCACATTTCAGCAACAATTAGTTACTAACAAGTTTATTTTATTGATAGTTTGTTTTACCAAAGCATTTTACAGACTAAGTAATTCTGGTCAATATCATTAGAGCTAGATTAAAATTTAAACTAAAGTTAGTGTAATTTATAAAAAAAAACTTGTTGATGAAATAAGCTTTAGTGAAATAAACTGTCAGTAAAATGAACTTGTTAGTAAAATGTGGTGTCTACGAAGTGATTGTCAATAAAATAATACAGACCTCTATAAATGCATTTTCTCTTATTGATCTTTAAGTGTATATTGTTTAAAGCTTGTTCCAAAGTGCTGAAGTGCATATATTTATAAAGGTTTTACTGTATTAATTATTAAGTTGTTAAGCTATGTAGAATTGAAGATTTTTATTTAAGCTGTTAATTGGCCTATCTGCTCTTTTCTGGTCTAAGAATTGGAGATCTTTAAAAGATCAGATTGGATTGCAGTCTAGAACTGAATAGAATCAATTAGAATTATATTAAATAGATCAACTATTAAAGATATTCTCAGAGCTTTCCCAAATATGATTTGAATTAAATATATGCTTCTAGATGCTTTATATATTAATTTCAGAATTTATTTGTTTGTTTAAAACTATTATAGTATAAAAGTTCTCAGTCTTGTAATTTTAACCCAATCATGGCACAGGATCATACATAGAATTAAAACAAAATATATAAACTTTTCATTTTTCAAAAAAACATCCATAACTTGAAATTTTACTATAAAACCACCTAACAAAAAAATTTTTTACAAGATTTTGCTATGTGTGGTGTCCTTTCTAATATCATCCTAATACTCAATCTTATTATTTATATAACAGAAATTAATAAAGTTAATTATATTATATTTAATTTTAATTTTTACTATGTAGGATTGTTTATTTACCTCTACATTAAAGAGAGATTATTAAACTAAAAGATGAATAGATCATTTTCTAGAACATATAATATTAACACATTAGTATAATAATTCTGGGGTTACAGTAAACAGGTCTAGATTAGATCTAGACTAGACTTTAGAAACTAATTTAGAAATAGTCCAAAAACCAATTCAGATAATAAGCAAGATAAAGCATTTGCTAATGCAGTGAGCTTCATAAGTCAGATAAAAGTAAAAAAAATATCAATGAATTATATTTATTTTATAATTATACAAGAATAGAACAGGGCGTCATTGGCGCCACTGTTAAATTATTCTAGTAAAATGTAATATGTAGT